ATGTAAAAGATAGAGATCGATTAATTACGAAACAAAATTCTTTCTTGGAATTAAATGTGGCTAGAACTGTTGAAAAGCAGTTAAAATCATGGTAATTCATTTGATAAAAAAATTATATTCAGTTAAATGCAAAATAAATATATATAAAAGATATATTAATTCGTAATAAATAGCTAAAATTATAAGAAAATATAAAATGATAGAAACTTTTAAAAAACAATTTTAATATTAATTGAAAATTTCATTTTCAGTATACGAACACATAGTGTTGAACCATTGCGAATAACGAGAAATATCGAAACGTGGAGGCCGATATTATGGTTCGCATTCATCTTCTTTCTCGGATTTTATGCAAAACAAATTATTTCAACATTTGTTACATAATACATTAAAAAATTTTGATAGTAAAACTTAGCATTTTTTTTGTGTTACAATATTACAGTATTAAAAAAAAATTTATTCAGTGTAATAATTTACATAATAAAGAAAAATAATAAAAGGCGTTATTTACAAATATACGTATTTAATATTCTTCATTTTCTCAATATATTACAAATTATCCACAGTTCCAATGCACACGAGCGAATTATTTTTATTATAATAATGTAAAGAGAGAATACTCGAACAATAAGTTGAGTATATTTGTGGTGATTCCGTTTCAGGTACTAAATTTGATGAATTACTATATGAAACAATATATATAATAAAAATATAATATATAATATAATTCCATAAAATATTAAAAATATATTTTTTTTTAACTTATAGAGATATTGTTAAAAATTACCTATTAACAGTTTTAATATGATCATGCGTAGGCCATAAACGAATAGTGCCATCTAGACTTCCACTAGCAATGTATTGGCTATCAAAACTCCAATCTAAATTCATAATTGTGTCTTCGTGACCTTTAAGTTCTGTTAACAATGCATTAGTTGCTAAGTCCCAAACAAAAATGGATTTGTCATCGCCTAAAATAAATAATATATAATTTTAATTAATAAAATATAAATTTATTTAAATATATTTATATATATATAGATTAATACAAAAAAATATTTATATAATTACATATAAAATATATATAAAAGATTAAAATATATAAAAAAAATTAAATTTTATAGCTTATAAAATACTCATTATTTAATAAAAAATTAAGGTTTTACCTGCAGCTGCCAAATATTTTCCATCCGGACTAAAAGCTAAACTGTAAATTGTTGATTGTGCACCTATATATACTCTTAATAAATTTCCGTCGTCTTTATCCCATAATCTCACAGTCTTATCAGCAGATCCAGTAGCTAAATATCGAGCATTTGGATGAAATTTTACACACTGTAAAACATATATAATATATATATATAATAAAATTAACATAAAAATTATCATCTTTTTTTTTACATATTTATTTTTTTTAAATTCCTGTATAATTTTATACAAAAATAAAATTTATTTGTTAATCTAAAATACATACATTTATGTCTAAAAAGTGACCAGCGAATATACGTAATGGATATATCCTATCTAAGGACCATAATTTAGCAGTTCTATCATGAGATCCTGTTGCTACATATAAATTGAATACACTAAGATCCATGCACCATATAGGATAATTATGACCACTGGAACAAATTATGTATTTTTTAATGATAATTAATAATAATAATTAATAATTAATAATAGTTATAATTTCATTTGTAAAATATTCATATAAAATTAATATAAATACCTATAAATAGCAGCACATGTATAATCATTAAGTCTCCATGCCCTCATATCTTTATCACTAGATACAGAAAGTAATATATCCGATTCTGGAATAAACCTTAAATCATGTACAATGTCTGTATGACCTCTAAGTATCACTGCCCCTCCTTGAGTTCTTAAAATATAATGAATGAATATATAATTTTAAATTTTATTTAAATTAAATATATTATAATATTTTGAAATTCAATAATATTTATGAAACTAAAATTATAGAAACTTACATTCTGTTCGATGTTTCATAAAATTGATGTAAAAATGGAATATTTGAGGCAAATGTAAAAGAAGATTCTTCGTACTTTGGCTTAATTAATACTGTTTCATTTATACCCCATAACCTAATCTCTGTAGTACTAAATCCTACTGCTAATTTATCCATATTCGGTGGAATTACACCACTACTTGCACTATAAAAATAAATATTTTATATGATTCTCAAAGATTCTTAATATTTGTTACACTAACCTCCAATAAAATTATCTTTTCATATAAATAAATTCCAATTTATATATAATTACTTTTCAACAGCATTATTTACTGCAAATATTCGTAGAGGTTGATGAGCATTATTTCGGATTAATCTTATAGCCTCTTGGAGTTCTCTCATTTCACGATCAGCTCCAGTACCCAATGGTTGTTCTATATATCCATTAATTCCTACTTCAGAACGTAAACCTGTTTCTTCACAACCTTCTGTGTCTGTTTCAGGCACATTCATTTTTTTAATTATTGTCACATGAGTATTTATTATCTATAAATAAAGCATTATATATTGTTAATAAAAATTTAAAAAAAATAGTTTCATTAATAATTTAATGTACTTAATGTTTGATATATTATAACTGCAATTTATTACCTGCATTAATATTATATGTCCATGTTTTGAGAGAAATTGTTGAAGGCATAAATGAGCAACATCAGACATATCTACTTTATATTTTCTAGTTCTAAATGAATTTACTAAAGGTCTTAATTCAATATCTTGTACTGAAAACACACTAGATAATTCTTCTAAAAAATCTTTCTCCGTTTCACTACTGAACTCATTTTGATGTGTTTTTAGAAATTGAATTGCTGCTTGCCTGTTACCAGCATGTAGCATCTCTAAATATAAGTGACAAAATACAGGGTATAGAAGCCCTTTTAATTCCATTTTTAATTTATCATCGAGTACAATATTTACCCACATCTTTAACCTAAAGAAAATATTATTTTTAAAATAAAATAAACAATAATTATATATAATCACATTAATGCATTAAAATGATATATATTTAGTTATAAAAATTTTGAAAACAAAAAGATGTACCGCTGATATGCTTGATCTGCAGCAGCAACATCAATACTAATGGCACTAAAAATGATTGAATTATCTTGAGATGTGGCAGAAGCAGCAGTTGCATTCAGAGTCATTTCATCACTCGTTCTACAATATACTTGATTGTTTTTACAAAAAACGTCGCTAGTCTATAATTAATATTTAAAATAATAAGAGGTTATGTCATATTTATTAATTCTAATTTAAATTTAAATAAAACTATTGAAATAAAAATAAGAATGTAACCTGCCTGATAATGACGTCGTTTTAAATATGATTCAATTGTAGCATTAATTAATTCGCTCTTTAAACGTTTCATCTTTTTACTATACGTTGGTTATTTTCAAAAGATTGAAAAGATTCAACCATACGAAAGACATCAAGTAATTACAAATTATTTAAATATTAAATTAATTATTAAAATATTAATTATTAAAGTACATAGTTTCAACAATTACTTATAAAATCAATCGAATGCAAATAATATTTATATTTTATTAATAGCTAATAAAACAAATCTTAAGTTTAAATAGCCGCTATTAGATATATATTTTCATTGATAAAATAAATTAAAACTTGAATAAAATTTTAATTAATAACATTCGGCATGTTATTTTCATTACAATATTTTTTTTAAACTTTCATACTTTATTGAACCTTATTTATAACGTACAAATCTATAAACAAATAGTTGCCGCCCGTCAATCATTCTGAAAATATATAATCAAAAACATATCTTTTCCCTAGAAAATGATTTGTTGTTCTTTGTTATTATTGGAATTACTAGAATACATATTTCTATTTATATGCAAATATAAAATAATTAAATTTTCTATAAGTATTTTTTTTCTCTATTTTATCATCGAATTTAAATTATTTAGAAATTATATTTATATATGAACTTTTTAAAATATTAAATAACAATTAATAATATATAGAATTATTCAATACTTCAGTAATTTTATATAGGAATTTTTTAGAAACTTATAACTAGAAATAAAGACATAGATAAGATACAAAATAGATCTACTATTTTGTATTTATTATATCATTATTATTATATGATAATCATAAATATTAGACAATAAATCAAATTAATCATTTTATATTTTTTTATGTTTTAAATGTTCTAAATTAACAATCGTGTAAGTATAAATTTTGTAAAGCAAATATAGACAAGAGCAAAAGAAAAAAGGACAGAGATAGAGTAAAAATATTGAAATTAGCGCCATCTCCAGAGTGCCGCAAATGAACACATAAAGAAAAAATTGTAAATGAAAAAAAGAGATATAGGTAAAAATTAATCTTCAACGCCATCTTTTGAATCTCAGAGATATGTTCCAAAAAAATAATTTTTATAAATACTTAAGAGATAACGTTGATCCTCAATTCTTATTTTATCTTATCTTCTTTTCAAAAAGATGAAGCTTTTAAGAAATAGCACCGAGTTAATTTTTACTTTATCTCTACTTTTACTTAATCATTTTTTCATTATTTATTGGTCTGATAACAAAAAAAAAAAAAAAAAATAAGAGTAAATTTTGAAATATTTTATCAAAAAATGACAATATCAAAGATTCGAATGTATTTTTCGTAATCTTATAAAGCATTACTATCGCATACAATTAATTGTCTAAATAATAATTTTTATCGAATATAAGACAATAGGGACTTAATAATTTTATTGAAAGATTACAAATAAAATATTCACAAATTATTTTTATAATTCAAGATTTAGACTGCGCTCTTTATATCTTATTATAATTCATTGTTTTATTTAATTTATAATTACTTCATATATAATATAAACGATTTTTAATATATTTAAATACAAATGATTTATAAAACTCTTAATTATAATATAATAAATGCTTTATTATAAAATTTTGTTCTTTATTTGTCCTTTAATGATAGAGTTATATTTAAATAACTATTTATCCATTTTTGATCTAAAAAAATATATTATATTTTTAATATATATAATATAGTAATATGATTTTTATATATATCACTGATACATAAAAATCATTATTAAATATTAACATTTTTAGTGCTTTTATAAGCAATATTTTTTCATTATATGTAATTTTTAAAAATATTTTTAAAAATACCATTGACAATACATTTTTAAAATCATATATTGAAAACTTACAAATTGGAACACAATAAGTTTAAATCTTGTGGTAAAACATATCGTATATGCGGAGACAAATCAATAAATGGATCAATATCATTTTCAAAATTTTCAAATTCTTTTAATCTGTAAAATATAAAGAAATAATATAAATATTTTAATTCAAATAATAACATTTATACTAACCTTACAATAAAATGTTTGGACTGATTTATTGGTGATTGTCCAATGCAATTACGTTTAGATAAGTTAAATATTGCGGGAAATACTGCGTCACGGAAATCACCAATTTTTAATAAATTATATTGTTCTGAATTATTAATAAGAGGATTTTTGTTAAAGTTTTCTGTAATTAAGGAACGTAATATTGGAGTATCTATCCAAACAACATGGCATTTATTGTGAAGCATTTTTGCAAACCAATCAAAAGCACCAATCTTAGCTACATTATTCCATTCTATTCCATTATGCCAATCATGTACCTGTAAAATATATAAAATTGTATATCTAAATAATATATATAAAATATATATTTTAAAAAAAAAGAAGATTTTTAATGATAGTAAATTATCTCTATTTAATATAATATAAATTTCAATGGAAAATAACTTACAATACATTGACAAACTTGATTAAGTGTCTCTCGAAAATCTGCTACTAATGCCATAAATGATTCAGGACCTTTATTATAAAGCAATATAATATCTCTGTTTATATTAATATCTTCCAATTTTATTTTTTCTTTACTATCCTATAAAATACTTGATATATTGTATTTATTAATTCTAATGATTTTATGATTAAAAATATTTTTATAAAAATATTTTTTTCTTACTTTATAAATATATATAATATAGATGAAGTACATAATTCCAATAATTGAAAATAAAGTTATAATAATAATTGGGAAATAAGAAAATTTATTAAAATTAATCTTGATTGGAATATTGTAAAATGTTGTATTTATATTTTGACAATCTATACACAAAATTTTTATTATATTTTATCATATATGATTAAATAAAAAAAGTGTTATGTTTAAGTATTAAATTATATTTAAATTGAAGAATATTAATTATTATATACTAAAAAAATAAAGAAAATATATAAATAAATATGACTATATTAATTTACTCACTTTTATACCAAAAACATTCATGAAGTGGTGACCATAAGGTGTTATTTTGATATCTTATATCATCACATGAACATATTGTAACACAATAGTTGGCTTTTTTAAGATTTGTTTGCTAATAAGTATCGTAATATTAAAATTATGCTTTTTGAAAATTTATTTGTTAAAGTGATAAAATTTAATTATGCAAATATCAAGAATAAAACTTACCCAAGTTATATTTAAGTTATGACGATTGTCTTCTAAATAATTATCCTATAAATCACATAACAATTTTAGTTTAATATAGTTTACTTATATTACTACATTATAAAATTATTCATTACATACATTATATAAAATTCTTATATATATTACATAAAATTTTTAATTAATTATATATTTTATATTTTTATAGAATGATTAAGCATTATATTATATTTTAGAAAATATAAAACAATAAATATTATAAATATTATAATAATTAAATTACCAAATGAAAATTCCAGTAACCACCAGGAATATCTTGATAATTAAAAGAACAAATATCATTGTACATTATACCCAACTTTATTTGAACTGGAATTATGGGTACAGGAGAGTATATATCAAAATATACCCAGCTTTTATATTTTTTTTAAAAAATTCTATTTAAAAACATTTTATATAAATCTATTTAAAATAATCATAATATAAACTTACTTGTTTGTGCTATTAAGTTCAATGTATTCATATGTACATTGCAATATTGGTTTAATGTCTGCTCTTTCATAATTAGTTTTTAAGAATTTATTATTTTTTATCATTTTTATCATTTTTATATTTTGAAAATTAAACTGAACAGAATAACATGCTGTAAATATATATGGAACAAATATTCCAGTATTCTAAAAACAATTTCTTTTTTAAATTCTTTAAAATTTTATTATTAATTTATATTATTATGTTATAACAAATAGAATTTTGTATATGTGTATTTGTGTATTAATTGTGTACTAATACCTGATATTGCTTATTTGAAATAAAACATATAATATTTCTACTATGTATTTCATTTTTATATGAATTATTGAAATTATAATTCATACATTTTTTTTTCATTAATTGATTCATTTGCTAATAAAATAAGCTCATATTTACATATATTTTTTTGGTGGTTTAAGTTTAATCTGTATGATACCTGTAATATATAAAATATCAATTTTAAAATATTATTGTTTTATACATATATATAAAATAAATAAAATTTATTTATACTTTATATATATAATATAAATAAATTTTATAAGTAAATTTTATAAGTAATTTTAAAATTTTCTTGTGTATAAATGTTTATTTACCAAGAGATTTAGAAATTTTATCTATTATTGAAAAATTAACATCAGTAGAAATATCTTTATTTGTACAAAATTTAATTGCAGGCAAATTTGAATAATTGATGGATGTTTTACAACTATTAGTATCACAAATATACTGTAAATAAAAAAATTTTAGATAAAATGAAATAAATACTATTTTATTTTTGAAAATTATATTGAAAAATAAAAATAATGAATATAGAAATTAAAATAATAATCAAATATAAAATTTAAATATTTAATTATTTTCTTCTTAGATCTGATACTTACATCACATTTTTTTTGCATATAATAAAGATGGAATAAAAAATATAATAAGAAATATCATATAACCTTTAAATATAACTAAATACATACTTCGAAAAAATTTTATTGAAAATTTTATACAAAGTTATAATTTTATATTTGAACTATTAAATATTTCGTAAATTTTTTATATTTATTTACAAAAGTAATTATAAGTATGCTGATTAAAAAATTAACAATTATATTTTATTTTATATTCATGTTATTGTTTTCAGAATATTTAATATGGCATAATTATACATTCGATTGTACGTAACTAAAAAATATCATAAAGACAACAATCTTTAAAAATAAAGCAATCTCGCATATTTGCATACGCATACATATTTGTATATATTAATCATATTCATGCTAATACTTTTTTAAATTATTCAATTATTCAGATTCTCAATTTCTGATTTCTGCTTTAATTAGTTATTTTAATCTGTTTTTCATAGAAACAATTGAGTAAGAAAATTAATATATTCCGTGATTGTTATTATTAACAATTTAAAATTAATGATTAAATATATTTTTTTTATATTAGTTATTGGTTTTTTTTAATTGAAATAGTTTTTCACAGAAATTAAAAAAGCATTTTAAATCTATATGTAAAAATTGTAATATATCTATTCAACAAAATAAGAGGAAAATAAATTTAAGATATAAATAAAAATTATCATTCTTATATTTTAATGATTTCTATACATTCTAATGCAAAATTATTTTATATGCATAAATAACAAGTGAATTATGGAAATGAATTAGATGCACATCAAACACTGTTATACATATGTATACATATATTTCATACGACCACATGTAAGTATATGAGCGTGCGTATTTGATAACGCAGTTGTCTTAAAATTATATACATTTTCTAATACTTGTGGTTATAAGATTATTTATAATAAATATTACATAATTATATTATTATTTGTAATTAACAAATGATATTTATCATATAAAGTAATAATTATGCGAAAAATTAAACTCAAACAATTTAAAAAACATACTTCAATTATATGCTTCATACTTGCTTCTTTTTGAAATAAAAAATAATAAACTTATAAAACATAGAATGTGCGAAGTAATCAAAAAACAAATGATTGCAAACAATATTATCTATATATACTTTTCACAGCCTATTTTACTGTAAATTTCTTTTTTAATTTTTGTTTAAAAATAACATATTCCAAACGTGCAGAGCAAACAAACAAATATATCATGTCATCATCATATTATGCATGAAATACAATATAATGAATATCCTGTTAATAAAACTTACTCACTATGGTAAAAATTATAGAAATTAAGAAAATTAATACTAACAAAAGATATTTATCGAGCAAAATCTAAGTTTTTAAAATCGAGCTCAAGACTTATTTGCGAGAGATTTCAATACAGTTTACGGAAAACTAGAACCACATAAAAAAAGTTTTTTCCAGATTTTAAAATTTGTTTTTACGAAAAAATATATCATGTTCAGTGTGTACTAGTGTGTTAAATATATGAAAAATTGTTAAATATTCATTATAGCTAGCAGTATAAACCATTTCCTTGATTTTCAATCACATATTTTTCTAAATACTTCGCAGCTTTCTCACTTAAACCAAGATTAGGTAAGTCTTTTTTAAATTGTTCGAGCGTTCCAGCACCAGCGATGTAGCCATTTAATTTAGCAGCTAAAGGTGAATTTCGAAGAAGCTCATCACTAGTGAGACCGGTATTTTCTATTAACCATGGATGTTTTCGAAGTCGATATTTCTGATGATAACTAATAAATTAATAATAAATTAATTTAAAAATAATGAGAATTAAATATTTTAAGTCATTAAGAAGAAAATATATTATCGATATATATATATATTAATTTAATAAAAATCAATTTATGATAAATAATACTAATAATTGTTAAAATTTATATAATAATATTATTAGAATACACACAATAATTTAAAATTAATTTTTAATTATACTTTTTTATAAAAATTTATTAAAAAATTTTATAAATTTTTTATAAAGTTCTATTAAAAAAAATTTTACAAAATTATAACATGTACTTACTCTTCTGCTAGATAAAACTTTTCGAATTTTCTAATTTCAGTAAGAATCAAATCTGTATGTTTGTATTGCTCTTGTTCACGTGATTTTTCAGCTAATAATTTTTGTTCTTCGTCATGATACAAAATTAATGACATGTACTAAAAGCAATAATAAAAATATAATCATTTTTATATAATTAACGAAACTAAAAATTAATAAGAGACTAATAATATTTACCTGTCTCTTGATTTTTGTAGTAAGACCATATTCATGATTCTGCCAAAATAAAGCAAGTAATTGTGAATATGATACAATATTTGGATTATACTCAATATCAACGACTTCCGTATGATCACCCCTGCCAATAAAAATAGAAAAAAATTGATATTACAACAAATACAAACAGATTTCTATTAAAAATGAAAAATAAAAATAAAACATACATATTTTTATAAGTTGGTGATTCCTTTTGTCCACCTGCATATCCAACACAAGTTCTAATTACACCAGGTAAAACACCAAATAAACAATCACCAGCCCAGAAACATCCCATTCCAAATGTTGCGCGTTTTTGCTTGAATTTCTTCGAATTGTCCTGGCATTTTGTTCGACTATTATTGTAAAACGAATAGAATTATATAGAAGAATATAAAAATAGAAAATTATATAAATCATAGTTAAAAATTAAATAAACTAAATTAAAATATTAATATGATGTAAGAGAAAATCTTTTAATTCATATATCGTCATATCATATTATTTTGATCTGATCCGATAAAGAAATGTGAAACCTGTTAAATAACGGTTATACTGAAAATGATTAAAGTGACTAAATAATATTATTTTTCTACTAAATATTATTAATAAAATTATTTTTTTTTTCAATTTCTAATATATTATTAACAATTTTTCATCTTTTAGATTTTTCAACATTAATAGAATTAATCAATTTTAAATAATATTAATTTTTTTAGTTTAAGTTATAGTTATAAGTTATAAGTTATATTGAATGTTTTAAAATAAGAAAAGATATGAATAAAAATATGAAAGTAATTACAAATAATTACAATATTTTGATATTGATTGTCTGTACCTGAAGATTTATGTTTGTTTAAAAAATTATTTCGTTTATTGATGATTGACCTCATATTTTTATGATTAGAAATAATTATTTCATGACACCCGTTATGTATAAATTACGGACCTGACATGTGTACAAAAAAAGCGTGAAGAAATATACAGGGTGAACTATATAACTTGATTACCTCGTTTCTTTTTTTAATAAGATTAGTTTCAAACGTGTTATTTCGTAATACCATTATTTTTAAAATGTAAAAGTCTTTTTTATCTTTGAATTAAATAAAATATTAATTTTTTTCTATAATAAAAATTATATTAATTAATCTCTTAAATTTTTTTACGAAGTTATTAAAAAGATATATATATATTTTTATATTTTAACTATTTGAATATATTAGAAATAGAATTATAAAAAAATACTTGAGAATTTATTGGTATATCTTGAATGTACTTGAATAAAGAATGTCTATCTAGTTCAATCATATTAACATGATAATACGTAATAGACGAAGGATTTGTTATATGTCGTCATTAAATATTTTTCAATATCATTTCAAAAGAATTTTTATAAATTTTCTATTAAAAAAAATTATATAAACAATTTATTATAATTTTTTTATATCTTTTTTATTTAATATGAAAGATTTATAAAAATATTTTTAGAATTTTTGTCCTACTTCTTATTAAAAGTAATTAAATAAAAATAATTATATATATAGAAAAAAAATAGAAATGAAAATGAAAAATATACAAATACAAAGAGTACAACTAGGTTTCAAATATCTAATTTGAAAAATCAAATACTATAACAAAAATCTATAATTTTATTAAATAAATGACAGAAACAATTCAAATGATTTAGATAATTATTTACTTACATAAATCATGTTATATGAAATGAAAGATGATCCAATAAAACACTTACAAATTTAAATTTATGCTTCAAGTTTTATTGTAGATGATTTAGACGATTAATAAAAAGAATTTTAAACTAAAAGATTAATATTTATAAAAAAATGATGCGAATTCAAAAATAATTTAATTTATTAATTTATATTATTGATACGATATTTTAATTAATATTAATAACATTTTTTTCAATTTCTACAGAAATATTATACAAAAATAAATGAAAAATAAAATAAATAAATTTCGAATAATATTAAAAAAAATAATTTACCTTAATCTACAATAAAAAAGAAAATTATTTAAAAAATATAAACGAAGAAATAAAAGTACAAATAAAAATTCACTCCAAATTCAACAAAAGATATTTCGTTGGTGACTGAAAGAACACAAGAAACTACCGCGTGCTTCAGCAGTTCTACTTTTTATCTACGTTATCCCTTCTCTTTCTCTTTTCCCTACTCTGCAATATATTATGAACCCACTCCATTCTCTTACACATAAATCGTTGCTTTTGTTTCAATCATCAATTTAATTTGCTAATTTTGTTGCTTTAGTATTTCTGTATGTTATAGCGCTAATTAATACTAGTAAAAATTGCATTTTGAACTTCACAGGATATTTCTGATGGTAATTGTTATTTGTATTTTTTATTTTATCGTATTTCATTAAAATTTGTATATTTTTATACATATATTATATACATATAATATTATATATAATATAAATTATTTAGTAAATAACTAGCATTTAGTAAAATTAATAATAATCAATAAAAATTTGTTGATGTATTAAGACGTATTTATTTTACATAAATACGTATGAATGATAAATATTTTAAAAATAAAACGCATTTAATTTAAAATACTGATCCAAAGAATGTGCTAAAAATATCAATATTAACCTCTCTTGTGAGAGATACGATGTCATCAATCGATGTCGAATCTCATAATATATAGGATATGTTAATTGTCAATTTAACAGAGTTCGACAAGTTCTTCATGTGAGTTGCATCAGAAAATTGAAGCCACATGTGTTCGTTAAATTAGATAACAATTGCTGGACCGACTGACGTAATCTTTTTACCATGCGTGCTAAGCTCAGTAGCTCGACAGCTACAATTCAAAAAAGCGGTATTATCACGACATTGATCATATAAAGAGGTTATTATCATATTTGTTACTTTCTATGTATTAAATATTTGCACCGATAAATAGTATCTAATGTAATTTGTTAATTTACCAATTTTTATTGAAACATAACAGTATCAGAATAATTTGATATTTTTATTTTAAATTTGAAACAAGCACAAATTTGATCATACACAATTTCACAATCATAAAAAATATCGGATTTAATAACATAATAAATCTAAACAAAAGCAACCTAATTGACAAATATCATAAAGTAGTGCAGTGATATGACATACCAAGCAGCGATAGCTGATTACGACTAAACTTCTACGTAGCACGAGGATTAAATTTGATGTCACCATCTTCAATAGAAATGCCTATCGATAAGTGTTCTGAAAGAAGAATCATTCATATGGTTTATTAACTTTATCGCTATTAAAAACAGATAATAAAATAATTTAAATCATTTTTTAATCGATTTAGAATCTTATAAGTTTGTTATTGAACATTTATCATTCATGTAGAATATAAATATTTCGTTCAATTAAATAAAATGATTTTATAAATATCTAGTGCAATGAAAAAACAATAAATTTTATATATTTACTTTTATTCACAATTGTTTTATTCTTCGAAAATTTAACCAGTTTTTGACTAACGTGACCATCATGTGGTTATCACGTTCAAATATTTTCAAAAAAGCAGTATTACAATAATGTGTATATTTAAAACACTTTAAATCATACTTTTAGAATAAAAAATTACATCTTATATATTAATATAATTTATTAAAATATTTTATAAATTATTATAAAAATTTTATGTAAATATAAAAAAAAATTTTTTTACATAATATGTTTAATGTATTTATATATAAATATATATAAAACTATTTTATATATGAAGTAAAAAAAAAATATTTATATGAATTTAATTAAAATTTAATTTCTATTGTTATTAAAATTAAATTTGACTATTAAAGATATTTTTTTTAATTTTAAAATATAAATTTTTGATGTGATACAAAATCAAATATAATTAATATTTATAGGATATGAAATTAATATTAATTGAGTATTATATGATTCACGATATATTTTTAAGAAAAAACATAGGATATATACTATTATAGAATAACGGCACACATTAAAATTTACAAATAAAAGTATTCATAGAAATATGTATATCTAAATGAATATAAAAAATATTATTTATAATTAACATCTTTATAAAAAACACGAGAAGTATTCTATATGATATCATACATACTATTTGCAAAAATGTGTTTTTTTTTACGTAATTTACAATTTAAAAATTATTGAAATATACATTATTTTTATGCTGTAATAAATAGAATTCTGTACATATTCAAAAAAACTTATAAATTTAATTAAAATTACTTCTTATATAATAATTACTTAAATATTCGCTTATAAATACAATACATATTAGAAATCTATATAATCTCATATCTCGAATTCATAAGCATATATCATCTCATCAAAATCCCATACGATATTTTTTTGTAATCGTATGTAAACTACTATAAATAGAATTGATTAAAGTTTAAGAATATATAATATTTAAAAGATAAGATGAAAATGTTAATTTATAATTTTTAAAATCGAAATCTCATTTGTTTGATACAATTATCTACGATTTTCTATGATAGAAATACATAGTTTCGAGTATATGCTGACAAACATACTAAAATTATACAGAATAAGATTAAATGAAATTAAATGAATTATAAAAAAAATGATGAAAAAGAAAAAAAAGAATTACATAACAGCGCAACAACTTTTTTCGGAATGATTGTCACCGACAATATCACTGGTATTTCCGGTGAATCGTTGAAAATCTCTGCCAGTATTGAGTTCTGAATTGGAGATAGGCGACACAGGAATACCATTTCCATTTGCATCTATCGATCCAGCAGATATATGCCGATTCTGTGCTCTTTGTTTCTTCAAGTCCGATAATGATTTGACAAAAACTACTGAGACGTGTATGTTGATCTTGCCGTTGGTGTCACCATCTGATGCGTAGATCTGCTGCTGATTACCGACCGGCGGGTCGGACCCTGTCACTATCGAGGCAAACATGTAAATCCAATGCTACTTCTGTTCCTTGTGATTCACGTGAAATTTGTTTTCCTTCCCTTTCATTCCATTCCACCTTGCTTTACCCTCCACCTAATTCCCTTTTTCATACACTGAAATGGCACTTCAAAAGAAACTCAACTAGTGTGGAAACTAGCTGCCATGCGCTAAGCGGCACATGCTTTAGCAATAAGCATTAAAAACATTGCATGATGGAGTTCCAGAAATATGTTCTTTATATTTTACATAAACATTTTTTTCATCTCCTACCTTCACATTTATTATATTTTTAGACTTTAAAAGAATGAAGAAAATTTTAAGAATTTTTTTATTTCTTTTTTTACTCCGTTAACGATGGATTTTTGTTTATTAGTTTGTTATATTGTAAACTAAATCTTTAAGATTTTAAAAATAATATATTCAAATATATTTAATTTGTATTAAAATTTTTTTATAAAAAATAAAAAATTTAGTTTACAATTTAATTGCATTAAATTGCATAAATAAAAATATATACATAAATAAATACAAAACAATAATAGTTGAATTCTCTGGAACATTAAAATAATTTAATCCTAAAAATATAAATTAATGTAAATTTAGCTGTGTCAATGTCCAAACATATTTTTCATTATAATGGAATAATATTACTTCAAATCAATCATTTCTCAATTTTGCTGCTTTTAACTTAGATAAGATAAAAAGTAACATTTTTTAGTCATAATAGTAAATAACAAATATTTTAATGTCATAATTTTAATTTTAAAAAATAATAACAGATATACTATATAATATTAACTATTCCATATTAATATTTTTATAACAATAATTATAGATTTAAATATTTATTAAAAAAATTAAAAAAAGTTCATAATTATATTATGTTAAACTTTTTAAAGTTTGAAAGCAAATATAATAGTTGATAATAGTATTAAATTTTATCAATGTGATCGATTTGATGTAGAATCTGTAAAAGAATTATATTAATAACTATAATAACATGAAATGTCGTGACACAACCGACCTCGTAACGATCTTATCATTTAGCGATAAAACTAAAAGACAGGAAGACACATTACGCGAATACATAACTAACATTGAGTGAATACAATTAACTATTAGCACAACATGTTAGGTATGTGAAAAAGTTCTAGTTCTATTTTTTTTAACATTGATTTTATTGTTTATTAACATTGATATATGGATTTTTTATTATGCAAACATTAAACTATAAAACAATTATACATAAAATTGCAAATAAAAATGTAAATATTTGTTATGAAAATGAAATTAATAGAGAATATAAATCAAATTATGAATTATTTTAAAAATTCATTATATAATAAATAGCAATAATTATATTATTCTTGATTGTTTGAATAAATAAGGAAAATGACAGAACTTTTCACAAACCTAGTATATACGTATTAAAGTAATTCGATATGTTTGATTTTTTTATTTCAACAGTTTTTTGATGATATGTAAGTATATATATATATATATATATATACTAATATATATATATATATATATATATATGAAAGTGCTCATTGAATATTAATTATTGATACATTATAATATAGATTCAAATCTACTTAATCTGTTTGATAAAATATTGAATATAGATAATAATATTATCAAATAAAGCTATATTTATAATACTTTATTTACTTCATAAAGTAATATTAAAGAAATATTATATTAAAAGTACATAATATAGTCAGCTTGATCCTACAGTATATATGAGGAATATTAGTAGATGTGCGTTTAAGCTTAGAATTCTAAATTGTATTAAGTACAAAAACAATATTATAAGAACATGATTTTTAACTGTTAAACTTATTACAATGTTTCTTCGCATAACAACCAATAAGCTTTGCCAAATGCTAAAATATTATTTGAAATAGCAAGAAAATACTAAAAAAAAAGCCAATGCAATTTAGCTTTTGCGACAAAATATTCGATTTTTATACTAGGAAGATATTATCAAAGAGAAAACATGTATACACAGCACATATAAAAATAATTCAATCTTATAAGAGAAAATTTCGAAACGTACAACCATATCATTAAAAGATTAAAAAATAATAGAACATTATGTTCAAAAGTACGTTTAAAGAAATAAGAAAGTGACATAGAAAACTGACCTCGCAATTATTCAGGAGCACGACGCAGTAGTAACAAAAAAAAGAAAAGGCTTATAAATGATTGATACTATATTTTTTTAAATAATTCATAATAAAAATTATTATATTAATAATAATAAAATTTTATACTAATATAATAATTGATCATTTTAATTTTTAATTGTTAGTCTAATTAATTTTTTGGACCATTAAAAATTTTTTATTAAAAAATATTTTGAAAAATGCTTTGTTTTAAACATAATAAGCGCATGATAAATATAAAAATATGATCATTATACAACGTTAACAAGGTCGAGTTATGCGACCAAACGCACAGATTATATGGACATGACACGTATTTTTTTGCACAATTTTATGCATAAAATTACTATTTACCAGAGGATTCTACTTAACCATAACCAATGTGAATTTAACATATTTTGGAATATACCTGATTCTTTATCGACGTCTTCATGAAGGAAAGATTCATTATCCTTTCCTTCAGGTGCTTTACGTACAGCAGGTGGTGCATTATTATCTGTTTCACTGCTCATATTTTCTCGTATATTAGCTTCATTTTCTGATTGTGGAACATTAATAGTGGAACCACTATATGTCTGAAATATATAATTTCTTTATTATTTGATTTCAATTTGTTTCTAACATTATATAATTAATAAAATAAAAATCTACTTTTCTTTTCTACCTGTTGTGCTTGTAATCTAAGTCGAGCTTCTTCTTGAGCATCTTTTTTCGTAGTTAAAACTTTATCTCTTATTGAAGTTCTTCTTACGCTTTGAGTACGCGTATTTATACTTTGAGATCTGCGTACCCGTCTTCCCTGTGCTTCGCGTAATCGTTTACTTTCTTGTTCCGTTTTAAGTTCTACTATTCTTTCTTTAATTTCTGAATCTTCACAAATATCTATAAAATTAATTTTATAGATATTATTAATTTAATTTTTCATTAATATTTTAAAATATATATATAAAATAATTTTTTAAATTTTATTGAATATGAATATTTTTACCAGCTGGAGTTTCATCATGTTTATTTTTCGCATTTAAATCAGCTCCATTTTGTACTAATAACTCAAGAACTTCTAACTAAAAAAAAAAATAAAATAATTATAGAAAATAAAGTTAATTTAAATAATTAATAAATATATAATATAATTCAATTCATACATGACCCCAGCAAGCAGCTGCATGAACTGGTTGCCACTTGTCATTATCTTCAACATCAGTTGAAACATGTTGATCTAGAAGAAATTCAACTACTCTTAAGTAACCATTTGCAGCTGCAATATGTAGCTAAAATTCAAAAAAAGAAAAAAATCATTGATGGTTACTTTTTGAATAAATGATCATAATAATTTAGTATACGTACAGGTGTAGCACCTTGATGATCCTTATATTCTAAATCACCACCTATAGAAGTTATATTTTGTAAATCTCTTAACATTTGAACTTCAATTGAAGCTCTAGTTTCATCTATTAATTCTTGAGTAACACCTCGTCTTGCCATTTCACCTATGATTATATATATAAAAAGAATTATTTTTATATTTTTATATATTTTTTTATATACTTTTATTTTAAATTTTTTAATTTTTTTAATTGATTTAAATGATTTTTCATTAAAAATATTATAAATATTCTTACCCTCTATACAATCTAATGTTTTTTCATCTTCACAAATATCATAAGGCATATTACCATCTGCATTAACAGCTAATAAATTAGCACCTCTAACAATGAGATTTTTAACTAAATGTAAGTGGCCACAAGTAGCAGCAGCATGTAATGGTGTCCATTTTTCACTATCTTCTGCATTAACATTTGCCCCAAATTCAATTAATAATTTCATCATTTCTTCATTATCATCTATACAACATTGATGTAAAGCTGTCAATCCATCTTCATTTGTTGAATCTGGATTTACTCCTTTTTTTAAAAGTCGTCTCACTAAAATATATATCTATTTCTTAATATGCTGACTCATATATTAAATTATATTGAATACAATAAAAAACAATCTAATGAAAATTATATCATATTACCTTCATCAATATCATTTCTTGCTGCAGCTTCTAAAAGCATTACACTATCACTAAAATATATATGACGTTTATTACTTGTATGTCTGGTTTGATGTCGCATCCATTCTTTTTCACGTTGACGCCATACTTTTAATTGTTGGAGTCTTTTGAGACGAGCTAAATGCAACCTTTCTTGAGTTGTTAACCTTTCTATATGTACCATTTCTGCTACTAAATCAGAATGTTCCATGACTATATGTTTGTAATTTTTACAACTGTATTTACCTACTCAAAAAAAAAAAATAAATTACATTTTACTTTATATGTATTATTTAAATTTATAATATATAATATTAATATTAAATCTAAATAAATATAAGTAATATATTTAATATATCTAAATGTATAATAATATAATGTTACAAATAATGAAATAGAAGTTTTAATAGGAATATTATGGTAAAAAGGGATTTAGATGCTAACTAGATTACCTTTACACTTACAAAGCCATGAATACATTCCAAGATATTTTAAAATTTTGCGACAAAGATTAGACATCATTCTGATATAATATCAAGTTTTGCTTTTTCAGATTCAAAACCTGTATGAAATTAGCTGCTTTTTCATTGGATATTTGATCATGAATGATATCATATTTTTATCCAAAACTTTTCATATTTATCAAGTACTTAAGTAAGTAAACATACATTATTTACATAAATGTTTCAGAATATTCATTTCAGTTATCACATAACGAGTAATAAGTTTGTAGTTTTTTAAAATACATATATTTTTTTAAATCTATGAAAAAAATATGTACTTAATATTCTAAAAGAATTGATTTATGAAAATCCTTTTTATATAAATTTTATATAATATTTTATATATAATAATATATAATTAAAGAATTAATACAATGAAAAATTTACATATTTATATATTATATATTATATTGATTTTCATATAAAACTAATTTTTTAATAAGAAAAATAAAATAATTTTGACAAATAATTTTAAGAATAAATTTAGAAACTATAAAATTGTATGTAATAATATATTATAAAAAAAAATATAAAATTGAATTCTTATTTCTTATTTTATATATAATATAATCTATTTATAGTAAGCTATTTAATTAAAAGATTTTAATAGATAAAAAATATATCTTCAAATGTATTGTATTGTTTGATATTATTTTTTCATTCTTTATTTTATTTTTTTTATTTTGACATACAGACAAAATAATACAATTCTTATATAAAAGATGAAATAAGCAAGATAAACGAACAAAGACAAAAAGAGCGATAGAATAATATTAATGACAAATAAAATAATGATAAAAGTGAATTATAAGCAGATATATGAATATGTTTGCTACTTTGCGATTGTAACTCGAAAGTTAATGCAAGTGAAAGAATCTGTTCTAGGACTGAGGGGAGGGGGGTGTCAAATCGCGATATCTACTCACATTGGCAAGTGATCGTTTGTTCGTTCACTTATTCGTTCGCGATGCAGTGGAATGCGGAAGTTTGCTCGTTCGTTCGTTCATTCGTTCGTTTTTTTCTTTTTCGTTAGTTCAAAAAACAGACGAAATTAAGACAAAAAATCTTAATCGTGCCAAGACTAAGTGCAGCTGAATCTCACGAATACAATAATCGAGAGAGAAAGTCACCGTGTTGATTGATGAAAACGCAACATAATTTGTAAGGTTTCTTCAATGCAATGATTCCACTAAATAAAATTGAACTAAAGAGGTTGAATATATCTCTTGCTTTTAATTTAATGAAAATCACGTCGCGTCTGATCTTGTCGCGGCACCGTACACGCGAGAAAACGCATACCTGTCAGTCGCCATTTTTAAACTACCTGTAGAAAATCATTCGCGCCTTCCCTTCACCGCGCGCTAACTTATCTTTTTTAAAATTATGTTTTATTAGTTATTATATATATATATTATATATAAATTTTATCTTTTAATGGTCAGTATATTTATTAGATTAAATTTCTTATATTATAAGAAACAAAAGAATATAAAATAAATAAACATCTTATTGAAAATTTAAATATTAATATTAATTGCTAATTTATAATCATTATTTTAATTTTTTTTTAATGCAAACATGTTAGTATTGAATAAATAGATCTCGAAATCCAAATTTATCTAAATCTTTTATTATATATAAATATATTATTTAACAAAAATTTAAAAAAAATTCTTTTACAATTTTATATTTAATTAATATCTTTCTACTCTTTCTTATTTTGAATATATTTGAATAAATAATATATTTATCTAATAGAAACAAAAATTATAAACTATAAAAGACATTTTCTACATATCTTCTTTTTAAAATAATTATATTTATTAACTTTATAATTTTTTCATATAATATAATATATAATATATTTTATATTATAATATAAAATAGACAAAATATATTTTTAGGCCTATAAACTGATAGATAAGATTTAAGATATTTATTTTAATTAATAAAGAAAAATATATTAATTATTTTTTTAATAATTATTTGAATACTCCCGCCATAAATTAGATCATTAATTACTCAGTTATTGCATACAAAGCATAGTATATTATATGTACTTAAATATACTTTGTTTATAATAGTAGTGTTGGTTTCACATCCGTATTGTTGAAAGTGATTCAAAACTAAAAATAAAATTCATATATATTTTTATAGATAATTATTTCACAACATCTGTGACAACGTTTATAATGAAGCATAAATTTTTAACGGATGCTTTTTCATTGTTATCAAAAGAAAATCAATCTCTTTCCTATATTAAAAAAAAAAGCAAGAAAAAATTTATTTAGCTCTCATAAGTGGATTTTTTGCAACTACTGGAAGTATATTGGGTAAACTTTCTAGCAATATAGAAATAAATTCCATAGTAAGTAATATTACATCTTTTTAAACAATTTTTTTATATAAGAAGTGTATAAAATTTGCAATATTCTTTTATATAAATTGTAATATTTCTAATATTTTTGTATAAAATTAATTATTTATTTCTTAATCAGTTTGAATTGCTACTTAAAGGAATACTTTTATTATTGATGATAACAAGTAACACTGTGGGATGCACCTTTTTCGTAAAAGCACTCAATATCAGCAAATCTTCTCTATCGTGTACAATAACCAGCGCCACCACTAGTTATGTTTGCTCGGTAGTATATACTTTTTCAATACATATATACAATAATATATATATATACAATACATATATATAATAAAAATAAGAAAAACAAATGCATTATATAATATTTAGATTTTTTATTTTTTTTATAGGCTTTTGCGGGTTTCTTAATTTTTAATGAACAAACATCGTTAAATTGGTGGTGTGGTATATCTCTCATTATTCTGGGTTTATTTTTTGTTAATTACACTCCACGTATAAGTGATTCTGTACCATCGCTAAAATCGAAAAATGAATAATTTTGAGAAAACGATTATTATATTATAATAAAAATGTTATCATATTATATATTTATTTTAATATATACTAAATAAATAAATAAACAATTATAAATCGTTTTAAAAAAATAAAAAGATTCATAAAAGATTTTTTATTTCGTATTAATTAATTATTTTATGAGATTGTATGTACATTACTAATATTTTTAAAACTAATTTAAAATTAATTAAAAAAAGACATTTTTAAAAAGTATCATCTAATAATTATATAATTTTATGAATTGACTTTTTACTTTTAATTATTATTTAATTCAAATAACATTGAAATGTTTTGTAAAAAATTTGATCGCATATGAAAATATTCAAAATTGAAATAACAAATTAGATTTAGATTTCACTTAATTATTAAACAATTATTACGGACTTATTTTTATTTCTCTTTCTGGGTTTTATTTTTATTTTTATTTAGAAAAAAGAAATGAGAAATAAAAAAACAACGACAAAAAACGGTAAAAAAGACTTGAAGTGTACTTATTTAGTCATCAGAGTGGATCTCCGTGCCTATAATAGCATTGGATAAGAAATATGAGGAAAAAAATAAAAGATTCTTCCGCCCTATTTCCTACTAAATGTAGGCTATAAAAATATCCTTTTAATTTAATTTTTTTAAATTTACAATAATATTTTTTTTTCAATATGAGAACTTTAAATAGAAATATTTTTTAAATTTAAGACAAATTTTATAAAATTCATATTGTTTATAAAATAAGTACAAAAATATTAAATTTAAAATATTTATGTTATTAACAAATTTAATTTTTATTAATCAATTAAATAATGAATACTTATCTCAACAATAAATATATATAAATATGTTTTTATATACATCTGTTTTCATGTAACATAGGTTAACATAGGTTAGTAACGAAGAATTCTACTATTCAGGATTATCAGTTCTTATATAGATCCTTATGTTATGTTATATTATATATCCTAATTAAAACTATACTGAGCTATTCATAAAGTTTCAGTTGACCAGGTTTTCAGTTTGTGGAACAGGGTCGTGGTTCATAGGTGCATTATATAGAGAAAGAGGATATTAGAAGGAGAACGCAAAAGAAGAATAAGAGGATGGCTTTATCGAGCGGCGGCTGCGCCGCAGTTATTCTCCACACTGCCGTCTATCGGCTAGTTGTCATTTTCGATAGTCAAGAATATAAGTCTTTCTTTTTTCTCTTTTTTAATTATATTTTTTCTTATTATTGTTACACATTTGTATACCAATAAACATTTGTCTATAATCTAGTTATTCCGTATTATTAAGTGTATAACTATGAACGGTAAATGTTGAAAATTTTTGCAATCTATCAAGCGCTCAAATTATTTACAGAAACATTTGACTTATTGCACTTTCTGGTATTTAATCATTAATCATTAATATGGCATTATTTTATTTTTATTAAATTTATAAAAGTACATTAATTTTATCTATCACTGTAAGTTACAAACATTAATTTCTCAACGTTCTTATCAAAATAATGAAATATTTACTAAGAAATTAACAAATGATTATTTCAGATTTCCAAAATGACTTTTTTCTATTATATTTTTATACCTTATATCTTATATCTTGTCGTCCTCTTACCGTGATAGACCTTCCGTTATTCAACGGGTTCTACTACTCCGTGCACACACCTTACTTTTCCCCTCTATAACATCTTTATCCCCACCTTTTTTTGTTCTCCCTCTCAGTGGCCCCTAGATTCTGGTAACGCTTCTCACAACTGAGACAACAGAACAGTTTTCGTATGGCGCACCTTCTTGCCAATTGAATCGGATAGCGAGCTTGTGCGTTACACAATTCATATATTTATTTATTAAATTACTGTTTCAATGATTCTGTGTGCGGGTAAACAGCTGTGTTAATCAAAGGTGCCTTTATGTGAAAGTGTCGACAGGTAGAGTGAATTACGTTCAATCAGTTTATTATAAGATTTTCATATTTGTTAAAATGTATCTTTTATGCTTATCTTTCTTATTTTCTTTGCCTTTCTTTTACTTTTTATTTGATCATAGGGATCTTTAATTCAATGACAAATTATTGTAAATTAGGTTGTTAATTAATGATAGAAGCTATAATTTATGAGATGAATAAAGAATGATTATTTAAAGTAAATACGGCGAGGATTTTAATTGATTCGATTCTCATGGGTCTTACATAGTAATTTCAAGGCATACTTAAAAAATCAAAAATATAAAATTATAATTAAATCTTGAACGAGATTTTCTAATATAAGAAAAATAAAATTTATGTTTTTTTACTTGACGATTATGTTTTTAAAATGACGATATATTGAATCAAACATTTGCTAGTTTGTAAATTTAATCAACGAAAATTTTCTAATTTGATCTTAATGATAGAATTCAAGATTATAAAACAATAATTTTTTTCTTTATACTATTAATTTCAAATATAATAAAATTATATATTTGTGATTCGTTTCTATTTTGTACGGATGGCTATTGTTATTTAATTATCAAAAAAGAATAAAAAAAAATCAAAATCAAAATAGAAACAATCCGTTATACGTGAAATATTTAGTTGTATTTGTTGTCATTTAGATCATGAAAAAAAAATGATTTTATTTTTTCCTCGTTTTTCATTAATCTGTTTGCTATTTATTTAAATTATTTTAAATTATTGTTCTGTCAAATTTAACTTCTACTAAGATCAGCACACGCAATATCTACCTTTGATTTTCTATTTGGCAATATTCCAACTAATATGGCAAAAGCAAAGACGCGAAAACTTTTTAATTTATCGCCGTAGGGAAAATAACGATTGTGCCCGTTAGCTGCATTTCATTCTCTCTATAGAAACTTCTTTCTACAAATGCATCGTGCATTTAAATTGTCAAGCAAAATTGGACAAAAAATATAGATTTCATCTGGCTGACTAAATGAAACAAAAGCTCTTCTTTAAATTGCACTGTTTCTTTACTAATAATTTGATCAATCGCAATGAATTTTCTCTTATTCTTACTATTTTTATTATTTTATCGTTGAATTAATTGAAATTATGATATAAATAATATAAACAGTCACTTAATCCCGCATAAAAACAATCTCAGTATTTCTGATACAATTCCCTTATAAATTTATATCACTTTCTAACATTTATTTTTCGTGAGTACAACATGCAAAACTTTGCCGTCGATCGTCATTAAAAATTTCTATGAAGTCACGATCGTTGTAAATTGCATGCTTGAATCGTTTCTGATACAGCCTAATAGAATAATTACGCTGTAAATGCTTACATAGATAAATCTCAGTGGAAAGAATAAAAATATACAGAAATGCATATACTATAATACACATTAAAAAAAGAATTTATAAATTTTATGACAATCTGTTTAATCTTTGGTTACGAGATTTATAATACAGCAAAATTTATAATACAAATTATTCTTTCTCCTTTTTTTTCTTTTTTTTTTTTATCTCTCCCTTGTATTTTTTTATAAATCATATAAATAATAGATAAATATAGATAAAAAATAATGAATATAGAATAATGTGCTTATATAACAATATTTTATTATATTATTATATTCATGCAAGAAATTTCGAGAATATAATTTTTTATAACCTATTGGAATATTGGAATATTATAATATTGGAATATTGCTAAATAAAAATTAAAAAAAAATGGATTGTTAAAATATAATAAAAGAATGAAATAATAAAAATATAATAACACAAAGAAATTAGAATACAAATCTGATTGTTTTAATAAAAAGAATATTATAAAAAGAAATATGTTGGCGCGAATATACCGCATTATGAATACCATGTTTGGCAACTTCGAAGGTTTCAATTAGGCGACGTAATCAAGTCAATCAGAATTCGTAATACAGTTTCGAGAATCTATCTTCAACGATGATGCTGAAGGAGGGATGCGACGGCAGCCACAAAGGAAATTGTTGTCCAACAATAAGATCATCGAGGATCGAGTTCGAGAGACGAAAGATAAGAAAAGATCGTCGAATCGTCCCAAGTGTATCGACCGATTAAACTGATAATTTCTTTCTTATTGTGAATTCTCTGTGCCTCAAGAGAATTTCGTGCGCAATAACATAAATTTACACCATGGGGAATGGCATGAACAAGGTAAGAAGCTTTGGCATGAACAAGGTAAGAAGCAATTTCACAGTTATTTTAATAATATCATTTTAATGAAATTTTCTGTCATTGTCATTATTTATATATCGAATTAAAAACGAACAACGAAATGATTTTTAATACGAAATAAATATGATTAAAATTGAGTAATAAAATATTACAATATTCAAGAAGAATTTGACAAATCATAATTATGTTAATTTTTCGAAGATGTTTGCTTATATTATATGACTTAACCTCTATCGATGATAAATATCAATGATACATGTGCTTTTACATTTTATTTAGTTGATTTACGTATATATTATACGTGTATATTGTAAAACTATTACATGATTGTTTCTCTAAATTTATCCATCTTAAATTCTGAAAATTCAACAAACGTTTATTTTGTATTTTAAATAGTAATTTTATTAAAATGAAAAAAGGGTAAAATTATAAAAATCATCATGTTAGTGAATTATTTTAATTAGCCTCATTTATAGTTTTTGAAATTTATCCAGAATTGACAACCTATAATATCTATATTGTCAAAAGGCATCGTATGATACATAATATCACTCGATAATGTATGCCAAGATTTCAATCGATGGTCCCGATGAAAAGTTAAGAGCCTGTACCTTTGTTCTCGCGTTCAACACCTCACTTAAGAATGCAGAATCGATTAAACGATTATCGCGATTCTCACCTGGTTATACACGTTCGAGTGATCATCTATAAAGATGAATGATTAACAATGAAGCACTTGCATCGAAAAGCTGCTCTATCGACTTTTTTTTCTAACGATATCTCCTTTATGTATTTTGAATACCGCTTAACTTCCCCCCCTCCCCCTTCCCCTCTGTTAA